ATTAGTACAATTACATGATTCTTGGACAGAATGGTAAGCTTCCCTTGCATCTGTCTTGTTTATTTAAAGGGACACAATAAGCACCAACATAACTTTAGCTTAATGAAGCAGCTTTGGTTGGTAGATCATGCCCATGCAGTCTAACTGTTCAATTCTTTTTTTTTTTATATTTATTTTATTTAAAGTTTTCCATACTACAGTATTGTCTGTCTCAAAACACTGTATATATATTAATAGACACAGAATTGTACAGCCTTTTATAATACATAAGTAAACACTAAACAGCCTTATAGGATCTTATACAGCCTAATACAATACATACATTAGCATACAATGCTATACAATGTGTCGATGAGTTGCCAAATACATTGCCAAATACATTAAGAACTTAAACATTACAATATTGCTTCATATAAACCCCCCTCCACCCGCCCAAAACAAAACAAAAAAAAAATTCCTAGCCTTCGGTGAGGGGCGGGCCTGAGTTAATCCATCCAAACGCTATCCTCGGTGGCTTATCCAGCCAAATATAACTAGAAAACAAACTTTGGAAGCAATTAAGAGTCCTAATCCCTATTCTATATGGGATCGCCCTAAAAAGGTATAAAGGGTTTGGCATCAAGAATGCTTTGGTCATTTTCATTCCATATCCAGGAAGATTCCAATCTCTTCCATTTTGTAACTTGAAATTGCAGTTCATTGAATAGGCCATCAAAATGTATTTGTATCGCTCTATAAATATCAATAGATATTTTAATCCCCAGATAGTCGATTAAATCATTTGCCCATATCAAATTATAACGTGAAGACACGAGATCTTTCTGAATCTTGGTTAAGAGAAAAGGTAAAGTTTGCGATTTTTTCAAATTAACCTTATAGTTAGCGAGGCTACTATATATAGAGATATCATCCAATAAATATGGAATTGAAACCAGTGGGTCGACCAGAGTAAGGAAGACATCATCCGCAAATAAAGATATCTTAACATTGCCATCATGTAGCTGTACTCCCTTTATGTTGCTATTCTCTTTGATCAGAGTACCTAAAGGCTCTATTGTGAGGACATATAGGAGGGGGGCCAAAGGGCACCCCTTTCTTGTGCCATTTTTTATTTCAAAAGGATTCGAGTCAAAATAGGGATTAATTATTTTTGCTGAAGAGTTCTTATTTAACAACATAGTTTTGTTCCAGAATTGTCCCTCTTGTCCGAACTGGCCCAGTTGGGTTGGGTTGTTCTTTATCTTTGGGGAAAGGAGTCTATGGAATGCAGGGGCATAGGAGGTAACTCAGTTTGTGTAATTTAGAATTTCTTATCTACTACTCTGTTAAATTCCTACTAAAGCCTGCAGGACTTCCTGTGTGTGATTAAAATTCAATAAACAGAGCAGGAGATAAAAAATTTCAAAGTAAAAACACACTGTGCTGTAAGACCTGATTGAAAACAGGACCTTTTTTTGATGCAACCTGTTTGAGTCACTGGCAATGTGTGTGTGACTTGGACTGCATAAACTGAAACAAAAGTGATTTTAACTTCTAAATGGCAGAGAATTGGGCATTGAAACTGCAGGGGCATGATCTACACTTCAAAACGACATAATTAAGCTGTGTCCTGTTAACGTACAAGTACTCTTTTCTTACAGTCAGCTGTAAGGCTCATTATATCTCTAGCCCATTCTGATAGGTTTGGTGCAAACCGGCCACCTGTCAGCCTGCTCTACAGGCTTGTACACAGTTTTAATGTTCCAGCTGTCCAGCCATTTATTCTGTAAGCACAAAACGTATCTTCTTTTACAATATGCAGCTAATTATCAGTACTCTCAACATGATCACATATACCTAGTACCCATAGGGCACACAAACACTGGTATGCCCATTTACGCTAGCTAGTTTTCGTGGCGCAGATTAAGGCTCTATCTGATGAGTACACTGCTCATGCATACCTTTTTAACAGAATGAGAGCCACGATCTGAGAACCCTATCCTGCTGCCCCAGTTTTTTTTCGTGCCCCACTTGTTAGGAAACTAAATGTAAACAGCTAAAAATGTGAAGCACATGTGGCAAACAGGCTTATTCACTAAACTCGCATTTTTCATATTGTCTGTATTTGCCTAAATGTGATTAAGTTGATGCTGCACGATATTCCGGGTCATAGGAGTGCACACGCGGTGTGCGTGGGCACACCCTAATCCCGCGGCACGCCTATGGAGTGAGACCGACAGGGGAGATCTCAGGATCTCCCTTGTCGGCTCATGCAGAGCCGGCGCTATCAGAGCGCCGGCTCTGCTCTCAGCCTCCCTCCCCACCGGCAGTGAAGGAGGCAGTATAGGAACCGGGGAGCTCTTGCCAGCAGCTCCGCCGGGTTCCTCTCGCGAGAACTGAGTGACAACGCTCAGATCTCGCGAGAGTGAGCTCTAGCCCGCGTGAACTCTAGCCCCGCTGGCTAGAGTTCACTCTCACCACTAGGACCACCAGGGAAGGCAGAAAGGATCCCCGCTCCCAGGCATAAGGTAACAAGGGAGGGGAGATATTAAGTAATCTGCCCCCACCTCCACTGCACCACCAGGGAAGGCAGCAGCACGGTCCCCCTCCCTACATAAGGTAAGAAGGGAAGGGGGATATTTATTAACTAATCTGCCCCCACCTCCACCCCCACAAATCACCCAAACATACAGCACACACCCACACACACACAGCATCCACACACATACAGCACACAAACAGAACACACAGAACCAACCCACACAGCACCCACACACACAGCACCCGCACACAGCACCCACACACACAGCACCCACACACACATACAGCACCCACACACATACAGCACCCTCACAAACACACACAGCACACAAACAGCACCCTCACACACACACAGCACACTAACAGTACCCTCACAAACACAAACAGCACCCTCACACAGCACACTAACAGGACCCTAACAAACACACACAGCACACTACCAGTACCCTCACATACAAACAGCACCCTCACACACAGTACATTAGCAGCACCCTCACACACAAACACCCTCACCCACATAGCACACTACCAGCACCCACACACAGCACACACACAGCAGTGTATGTGTGTATATATATATATATATATATATATATATATATGAAGTAGAGATTGTAGCCGTATTAGTCCAGTGATGTAGATGTAAAAAACAGATAAAATTCTTATCTTGTAATACCTTTTTTATTGGACTAACAGAATTTTTTAATGACAAGCTTTCGGGAGAACCTCCCTTTCTCAAGTCTGAAGCATTTCTGAGCAAAACCACACATAGAATTCAAAGTTGAGTTGTGATACAGGGGTTAAAGCGACATGAGTGTAGATAAGACACAGGTTTGTTAGAAAATAGACACCATCTTAGCAGAGGGTCATAAATATCTTGTTGAAGAGAAGAGTAGGGGGGAGAGAGGGAAAAGAAAAACAAACAAGCAGACAGTGCACAGGATGATACACTTTATACATGCACACACACAGAAATATGTATATGTGAACGCATAAACATATGTATATATACATAAACACATATACATACATGCACATGGACTCATATACACAAATATAAATGCACAGTAATATATATAAGTATTCATGCATACGAGTATGGGAAAGCATAGGTCTACACATAGTACTTTGTATATAGATAGAATAAACATATAGGAATGCATTTTAAAGTGTTGGTACATATGACAGAACAGTAAGATAATGCTGGGAGTGTGTTCATGTAAAGTGTTGGTAGTGGGACAGGAATCCCAAATCAATATTTAGTCCTCTCTTCTTGCTGTTAAACCATTTAATCATTCTGGCTTCAAAGGCTTTTCTTTCCTGGGTATTTTTAAAACCCCCTTTCAGTACTTTGATTTTTAGGTCCTTCAGTGAGTGGCCAGGTTGGGTAAAGTGGTGTCCTACAGGAGTGCAGTATGAGTCTTCTTTGTGGTGTTTAATAGAGTGTCTGTGCATATTCATTCTGCCATTTAATGGCTGGGTGGTTTCCCCAATGTAGCATCCTAGGTGACATTTTATGCATTGAATCATGTATACCACATTGCTGGATGTGCAGGAGTATGAACCTTTAATGCTGTAGGTTTTATTGTTGTGTGTGGCTGTGTTGTCTGTGCATATGTGCTGACACAGTTTGCAGCGAGGTTTTTTGCATTGACTGGTCCTGTTTTCTTCGTTCTTACCATCAGTGGGCAGCCTCCTGTTGATTAATTTTTTTTGGAGGTTTGGTGGTTGTCTGAAGGCCAAAATGGGTGTTTCAGGGAAAATGTTTTTCAGAGTCTCATCTTCTGTTAATATTGGTTGTAGGTCTTTGATGATTTTCCGTATTTCCTCAAGAGCAGGGTTGTAGGTGACCACAAGTGGCACTCGTGTGCATATTTTTTTCTCTCTGTATTGTAGCAGGCGCGTACGTGGCGTTTTTACAGCAGAGTTGGTTTGTTTGGTAATAGTCTTTGGTTTGTAGCCTTTCTGTCTCATAGATTGGGAGAGTACATTTAGATGGGAATTACGGTCATTAGGATCAGAGCATATGCGATGGTACCTAGTGGCTTGGCTGTAAATGATGCCCTGTTTAGTATGAGAGGGGTGGAAGCTGGAGCTGTGTAAGTAACTGCACCTGTCTGTGGGTTTTCTGTAAACCGAGGTGTGGATTGTGCCATTATTACATGTCACAGTTGTGTCCAGAAAATTCACAGATCTAGTGGAATATTCCATTTTTAGTTTGATTGATGGATGGAATGTGTTGAAAGAGTCATGGAACTGTATCAGTTTTTCTTTGCTTTCAGTCCAAATTATGAAGATATCATCGATGTAGCGATAATATTTGTATGGTTTGGTGTGTTGGTTATCTAGGAATCTCTGTTCAAGATCTGCCATAAACAGATTAGCATATTGGGGTGCCATCTTAGTGCCCATAGAAGTGCCTATGGTTTGTAGGTAAACCTCATTGTTGAAACTGAAGTAGTTATGTGTGAGGATAAATAGTGCCAGTTCTGTGATAATTCGGGGGCTGTATTTTTGGTTGTTTCACGTCAACAACCAAAAATACAGCCCCCGAATTATCACAGAACTGGCACTATTTATCCTCACACATAACTACTTCAGTTTCAACAATGAGGTTTACCTACAAACCATGGGCACTGCTATGGGCACTAAGATTGCACCCCAATATGCTAATCTGTTTATGGCAGATCTTGAACAGAGATTCCTAGATAACCAACACACCAAACCATACAAATATTATCGCTACATCGATGATATCTTCATAATTTGGACTGAAAGCAAAGAAAAACTGATACAGTTCCATGACTCTTTCAACACATTCCATCCATCAATCAAACTAAAAATGGAATATTCCACTAGATCTGTGAATTTTCTGGACACAACTGTGACATGTAATAATGGCACAATCCACACCTCGGTTTACAGAAAACCCACAGACAGGTGCAGTTACCTACACAGCTCCAGCTTCCACCCCTCTCATACTAAACAGGGCATCATTTACAGCCAAGCCACTAGGTACCATCGCATATGCTCTGATCCTAATGACCGTAATTCCCATCTAAATGTACTCTCCCAATCTATGAGACAGAAAGGCTACAAACCAAAGACTATTACCAAACAAATCAACTCTGCTGTAAAAATGCCACGTACGCGCCTGCTACAATACAGAGAGAGAAAAATATGCACACGAGTGCCACTTGTGGTCACCTACAACCCTGCTCTTGAGGAAATACGGAAAATCATCAAAGACCTACAACCAATATTAACAGAAGATGAGACTCTGAAAAACATTTTCCCTGAAACACCCATTTTGGCCTTCAGACAACCACCAAACCTCCAACAAAAATTAATCAACAGGAGGCTGCCCACTGATGGTAAGAACGAAGAAAACGGGACCAGTCAATGCAAAAAACCTCGCTGCAAACTGTGTCAGCACATATGCACAGACAACACAGCCACACACAACAATAAAACCTACAGCATTAAAGGTTCATACTCCTGCACATCCAGCAATGTGGTATACATGATTCAATGCATAAAATGTCACCTAGGATGCTACATTGGGGAAACCACCCAGCCATTAAATGGCAGAATGAATATGCACAGACACTCTATTAAACACCACAAAGAAGAATCATACTGCACTCCTGTGGGACACCACTTTACCCAACCTGGCCACTCACTGAAGGACCTAAAAATCAAAGTACTGAAAGGGGGTTTTAAAAATACCCAGGAAAGAAAAGCCTTTGAAGCCAGAATGATTAAATGGTTTAACAGCAAGAAGAGAGGACTAAATATTGATTTGGGATTCCTGTCCCACTACCAACACTTTACATGAACACTCTCCCAGCATTATCTTACTGTTCTGTCATATGTACCAACACTTTAAAATGCATTCCTATATGTTTATTCTATCTATATACAAAGTACTATGTGTAGACCTATGCTTTCCCATACTCGTATGCATGAATGCTTATATATATTACTGTGCATTTATATTTGTGTATATGAGTCCATGTGCATGTATGTATATGTGTTTATGTATATATACATATGTTTATGCGTTCACATATACATATTTCTGTGTGTGTGCATGTATAAAGTGTATCATCCTGTGCACTGTCTGCTTGTTTGTTTTTCTTTTCCCTCTCTCCCCCCTACTCTTCTCTTCAACAAGATATTTATGACCCTCTGCTAAGATGGTGTCTATTTTCTAACAAACCTGTGTCTTATCTACACTCATGTCGCTTTAACCCCTGTATCACAACTCAACTTTGAATTCTATGTGTCGTTTTGCTCAGAAATGCTTCAGACTTGAGAAAGGGAGGTTCTCCCGAAAGCTTGTCATTAAAAAATTCTGTTAGTCCAATAAAAAAGGTATTACAAGATAAGAATTTTATCTGTTTTTTACATCTATATATATATGTATATATATATATATATATACCTACATACATATATATATATATGCGGCGTGTGCTTGTGCTTTAGGGTGCACACCCTAATGCAATAGGCTGCGCACGCCTATGTTCCAGGTGCAATCTTCTCCAAGAGCGCAGGTTGTTTTTCTATTTATCAGTTTGTGCTGGATTAGAAAATCACAAGAACTTAAACTGCTTTCATTACCCTTTCTCAGTACAGGATCTCTGCTGATTGGGCAGTCAATGGGACGATTTTTCAAAACGTCCTGTTTTAAAAAGAGGTGCAAATACGTAAAAGTGGAGGTGTCACCAATGGATTATGCTGACTGGTCAACTACTTTGTTGAACAGAACATATTCATAAATATACCCAGTATGTATTATCATCTACCAGTTTTATCCCTGTTTAAAGAGCAAGCATCGTATTATGTCCAAGTTCTTATGCCTTTGTATGCTTTTTCAGACTTACCCCATAGGATTGTAATCTTACAGAACAAGCCCTATTCCAAGCTGGAGGCCATTAAAGGGAGAGACGTTGTTTCTGTTTTTAGAACAAAAAATACTTGTCATCCTTCTGTTCCTGTAGCTCGGAGATTGACTAATGGCTCTGACTGTTAAGAGCAGCCATGAATGGAAAGATAAGTAGAAAGTTGCTGAATGTTCTAGGACCTCATTGTCCATGTGGATGATTGTCTATGTTCTTCACCCTGTTTGGTTTTGTTTAGTGCCCTAGTGGAGTAAGAAGTTGCACATAGTGATATTTTATTTCCTCAGACAATTAACATATACATTTCAAACCGCTCTAGAGTAATTTTAGAAACAAGGAGAAGAATACATTACAAACCTCTCCAATGCTCAAATGAATAATTTTTTACTTAATACCAAACTACACATGCACAAATAAATAAAATCTTTAATCTAACAGTGGCTCCAATGCATGTGGGTGGATGAAGAGAGATGTATAATTTGTACATCTAAATCAGGGGTTCCCAATTAATTTTTCCTGTGGAACCCTGACATAGTGTATCAACATCATGGAATGATGTATATGAATCTGACACTCTGATACACATACACTGGCACATAGTAGCACACAGATACACACACATTGACACACAGTGTGTGGGTGTGTGTGTATCTATGTGTCAAAGTGTGTGTATATCTATGTTTGCATGTGCTGGTGTGTGTATCTGTGTGTGTGTGTGTGTGTATGTATAAGTATCTGACACACAGATACACACACACACACACTGGAACACAGACACACACCCCTTGACACACAGATACACACACAGATACACATGCACACTCTGAGGCACACAGTGATACATACACAAACCTTGACACACAGATACACACACTGACACACTCAGACACAGATACTCTTTGGCAGACACACATACATTCTCACTGACAAACACACATACTCTTTGACAGACACACATACACTCTCACTGACAAACACACATACTCTTTTACAGACAGACATACAAACAAAAATACACTCTCACTGACAAGCACACACACATTCTCACTGACAAACACATACACACTCACAAACTCACTGACAAGCACACATACACTCTCACATACAAACACACTGATATACACTGGCACATACACACACACACACACACACACTTAGATACACACAGTGACACATACACAAATCTTGACACACAGATACACACACTGACACACTCAGACACAGATACTCTTTGACAGATACACATACACTCTCACTGACAAACACACATACTCTTTGACAGTCACACATACACTCTCACTGACAAACACACATACTCTTTGACAGACACACATACACTCTCACTGACAAACAGACATACTCTTTTACAGACACACATACATTCTCACTGACAAACACATACACACTCACACGCTCACTGACAAACCCACATATACACATATACTCTTTGACAGACACATAAACACATACAAACTCCCTAACAAACACACATACAATTTTTTATTTAAGGTACTCCCTACCTTTGGGAGTGCTGGAATGGAGTTTCTATGTCCCTGTGGGGGTTTTGGGCTGAGCGTGTGGACCCTGGGGTCTAGTGGGGCTGACTTCACTGCTCCATCGCTGCCCACGGCCATTTTGTTTTTAGACATTTTGGCGGAAACCCATTTGTGTTCAACACCAACTGGGAAATGCTGATCTAAATAGCATGATGAATAATAATACAGAGTTACAAATATTAAAGTGTTACTCAAAGCATCATAATCAAATCACTGAAGTGGTCATGGTGCTTGGAGTAACCCTTTAACCAGAGCTTTGCATTATGGTTAATGTCTGTGGATTATTTTTTGGATTTGCTATGTGTTCATTGGTTGCAAAGTTTAATATTTATGACTGTTTTCTGATTGGTTGTATCAACTGTCATGTGACGGATTCCTTCTATTTACTAGTATGGCCACAGTAATATTTTTATCATTCCATTTTTATGTCTATTGAAATTCTGCTGAAGGATGCACTTCTATAAGTAACTGCCCTTAATAAAATAATGATAATACAAAGAAAAATAGTGCAATATTTATTTCTGTCTACAGTGTGCTTCAGAGAAATTCTTATCTAATATTGTTTTCTCATATTTCAATGCATGATGAGTTCCTCTGTAGTTTTTGAAGCCTCGAGGCATTTTGCATTTTTAATGCTTCATCTGGTAAACCTCACTGATTGACGTAAAATGAACATAAATATCTCCTGCAGTCTGTTGAATTTAATAAGCCAATCATATTTTAATGCATTAAAAAATATAAGCTGTCTGAGGGATGCAATGAATGAATGAATAAAGGCCTTCAAGTGTTTGCCAGATACGTGAGAGCTGAACAGGGCAAGACTGATGTACAATACATAACAAATATATAAACTAAATAGAATATCTAAATAAATATATATTTGTAATGCTTGAAAAAATATAATTACATGTAAACATCGGCTCCTAAACTGGAGCTAAGACATGATTTAATGATTTGGCTAATTACAATGTTACAATTGGAGGGGAGGGGCATTCCTGACACCATAACCACTACAATGCCAAGTAGTAGTTATGGTGCCTGGGGTGTTCATTTAAAGAATATATAATCCTTTAAATTTGTTTTCTTCGATTATTACCAATTTGTCCTATT